CCTGCTCCCAGCAGCCCTCAGTTGGGCCACGAGGAGCAAGGAGCAGCCAGGTAAGTTGCAGAGCCCCACCGCGGCCCGCCTTCAGGTACAAGCTCTCCCTCCTCTGTGAGGGCAGATCTGCACATTCCCCCCCATACCTAGCAATCCAAACCAGTCCAGTGGCACCTTTAAGACCAAGTTTTATTCAGGTACAAGCTCTCCCTCCTCTGTGAGGGCAGATCTGCGCGTTTCCCCTCCCCCAATAGCTAACAATCCAAAACAGTCCAGTGGCGCCTGAGTGGTGGGTGTTGCCTTCTGACACACTTCCGGTGATGTCAGGGGGTATGGCATATACACCTCTTTTTCTACGAAATTACCCCTGATTACGACTTCTTGTTTAGTACACATCTTTGGTTGGGCTTGTAAGTGCGGCCAGTTAAGAATTGCTGTTCAACACCTTGGCTCTTTGAGGGCCACCCAATCCCTTATTTGTCTGGTAAATTCCAGAGAGTCTGGATTCCCGGAAATTCCCCCCCCCCATGCCAGCAGTAGTTAAAAAAGAGGAGCTTGCTTCTTTTGATTGTCTGAGGGCCTCTGTTCCTAAGAGTGAGACAGAAGAAACGGGACTTGTGTGTGCAGGTGTTAGGGCATCCTTTTAATCCAGGGCACACTGCTCTTCTGAAATATCTGCCTCACTGGTTAGAGAGCCATCATGGGTTCTTGGAAAACTGCAGCCCTTTCTCTTCGGCCACAATAACCCAAGTATATATGTTAACCATGTCACACATTTTGTGTCACAAAACATTGATTTTGTCACATACTACAGAATGTCCCCCTAAATGTTACACGAACACTCGAAAACTTAGTGGGTTTTGACAAAGTTACGAGATCCAAAGCTGTTTTTAAAGCCATGGGTTTATTTATGAAAACAGCAGTGTACATTTAGTGCAAACAAACATGTTTTAAAAATGCCCTCTAACCCCTGTATCAAAGGAGTTTAATCCTCCTGTCCATATCAACATGTCACATCGGAAAGTGTCATCAAGAGGCAGACCTTCTTGTTTAGCTTATTGCTGAAGGAAGATCCCAATTACTGCTGGCTTTTATCTTTTTATTAAATGGAGAACTCCTCACTGACAGGATGTGGAGTGGACTGGTACTTGGATGGGGGGCTCAGCTATCTGACACTCTCAGGGCTTGTGTTACATGGCACAGACCTTAAATTCCAAAAATCAAAGGCTAAAACACAGGCGTTGTCTATGTTGCTGGCAATTGCAATACAAGCAGATCACAGTTTCGGCCTTTCGTCCATCAGGATCTCAGCTAGTCTCTCTTCTTCTGGGCCTAAGCTTAGGGTTGCCAAGTCTGGGTTGGGAAATACCTGGAGACTCTGGGGGTGGATCCAGGAGAGGGCGGGGTGAGGGGAGGGGAGGGGCCTCAGCATGGCACGAGGCCAGAGAGTCCACCCTCCAAAGCAGCCATTTTCTCCAGGGGAGCTGCTCTCTGTCAGCTGGAGATCAGCTGTCAAAGCGGGAGATCCCCAGGCCCCACCTGGAGGCTGGCAACCCTGCCTAAACTTCATTATAGTTTTTGGCCAGGTAACATCAGGTGAAGATGACATCCAATCAGAACACATTCTTAGGGGAAGCCTCTAGAAAATTACCTCATGCCCCCTGAGCCTCCTCCCCCCCATCCACCAGGCCGCAGGTCCTCATAAGAAGCTTAATCACGCCACTTCCATCCCTGGCCTTGAGGATGATAAGGCCGGGAGACTAATTAGTAACACCCGCAAGATGGACCAGGCCTGCTATTATTCACATGAAGCCTTGAGGAGGGGGGCAGCCAGGGGTGCTTCACCTCACAGAGGAAATAGCCACTTACTTCTGCTTCTTACTTGCCTTGAAAGCTCCTTGCTGGGTTCACCATAAGCCAGTTGAGATTTGATGGCACATTTCCAACTAGCCTGAGATCTTGGCTTGTCTTTGGCTATGACGACACCTCCGGTATTCTCTCTGAAGACTGTTGCAGTCCTCAGGAGAAAGGGGTCCTTTTTCCTGACGGAGAGCTCTGGGGAACTCTAAAGCTCGCTTGAGATTTTTGTTGGTCCTAAGGACAATGCACTACCATTGCGCGGGTAAGCGTCAAGCCAATTAGCACTGAAATCTGGTACCAAGATGGCATTCAGAGCTTTCTTAGGGATGGGCTAGCCCCTTTCTGCCACCTGCAGCGACAAAGAAATGTCACTCTTGGTAGCCTTCCCCATTTCTGCCCTGGGTTGGTGGCCTTCTCTACCAGTAGTAATACGAGGGAAGAACTTCCAGAATGGCACTGGAATGACTCAATAGACACCGTGCAGGAGTCGCGCATGACCAAAATGGTGCCTACTCTAGAGGAACCCCTGTAAGATTTTTGCACTAATGCCATGTCGGAGGTGCTTCCTGCCTCCTTCACCATCTCACAGAGAGGTTTGTTTTTTTTAAGCACCGCTTATTTGAAAAACAGACAGAACCTTCCATTCAAAACCTGTCTCATGTTGTACCACAGCAGAGCTTCCCCGACAGCAGTTTAGATATTTTTGTCATCAAGTCAAGCTGACTTCTGGCGACCCCTAGTGGGGCTTGGAGCCAAGGGACGTTTCAGAGAGGTGGCTTGCCATTGCCTGTCTCTGCATCACGACCCTGGTATTCCTTGGAGATCTCCCATCCAAATACTAGCCACGGCCGGCCCTGCTTAGCTTCTGAGATCTGTCGAGATCGGGCTTGCCTGGGCTATCCAGGTCGGGGCTCCTACAGCAGTTTGAGCACTCAAGAAGAAGAAGGGAAAAAAAAACAAAGGAAAAGAAGACACAAGGGAAAATGACCACGCAGGTTTAAACGGTATGTCAGTCACCCAGGCTGTCCAGTCCGGTAAGCTGAACTAGCTGCCATCCATGTGAAAACTGGGGAAATATTACGGGGCCTGTAGTGCAGTGAATGCTGGGGCTCTTTGCTCAGAAGGGAAGTCCAAAGCCCTCAGATATTCCTGAGAGGAGTCCCATCTGCTCTGCATGGGAAGAAACGTAAGAGAGCAGAGCCAGCACCAGCATACCCTGAGAAGGGGCAGCCCAGGACTTCTGGTGGGGCCCACTGCTGCCGACTCCCACCCACATCTCTTCCGCCACTGGTTTCAACCAGGGCTATTTTGAGGCAGGAACACACAGGAACGGAGTTCCGGCTGGCTTCAGAGTTGGCCACTCCCACTACAGCCAAAACCTCTGTGTGTGTGGCTACAGAGGGAAGGCCTGGAGAGCAAACCCCACCCCACGACTCTGACGCAGGCGGGCCCCCCCAGAAGGATCGGGGAGGCATTTAAAAGCCTCCCCATGCCTTCCCTGGCCTGTCCAAGGGCCAGCTTGCCCAGACTCCCCGCAGCCGCGGGGCACCTGAGCAAGCCAAGAGGTGTGGCCTAATATGCTAATGAGCTGCACTGTCAGGGGTGTGGCCTAATATACTAATAGGTTTCTGGTGTTTGGTGTGGCTTATTATGCTAATGAGTTCCTGCTGGGCTTTTTCTACAAAAAAAAGCCCTGCTTCCAACTGCTCAAGTCATTAAGGACAGGTACGTGGGTGGTGCACACTGGTGGTTCTTCTGGGGACAATGGCAGACGTTGCAGGCAACTGAGCATGAACGGTGGGTGGGCTTGCAGGTGGGAGAAGGACATGCATGCAGGTGTGAGGATAGAAAGAAGGGCATAAGAGAGCCCCTAGTAGTGGGCGGGGGGGGTGTCTGCTGGGCACTGTCTGTGTGCACGGTCCCCCAAAACCTGGAAAAAACCAGCCCTATCAGAGAGACATATTTTGCTGGAAATGCAAATGTTGGGCCTCAGATTACTGTGCTACAATTATGTGAACGTAATCAGGAGCATCAACCCCATAAAAAATAATACTGTTTGAGAAAGCTCTGTAAATACTGAATACTGTAAAAAAAAACCAACCCACCTAAAAACACTAAGCCAGTGGTGGTGAACCTATGACACGGGTGCCAGAGATGGCACTCAGAGCCAACTCTGCGGGCACGTGTGCCATCGCCTCAGCCAGGCCCAGACCATCATTAAAGTGTCGAATTCTCTGCCAAATAATTTTAAGCAAATGAAAGCATTTGGGATTGCTTTCCTTACTCTGTTTGGGTCATCTTAAGTTAATGTAGGAGTTGTTTTTTTCTAAAGTAAAACCTCAGTATTCAGGTTAAATTGCCGTGTTGCCACTTTGCGATAAATAAGTGGGTTTTGGGTCGCAGTTTGGGCACTCGGTCTCTAAAAGGTTCGCCATCACTGCACTAAGCCAAGCAAAGCACAAACTGCAAGGCAAAAGATACTCTGCACAGAGAGGTAGTTTCTGTCTTTACAGCAGCAATTTAGCACCAAAGTAGCTGTAAGTTATGGAAGAGCTGGTTATAATGAAAAGCTCGCTGCATCTTGGGGACAATCGCCAGATGCAAGTTCTGCATTCTATTCAACTAGCCGCGAAGCGGTTCTTCATTCTCTTTAGGCTTATTAAGTGTTGCCATTTTCTTTGGTCTCAGGAAGAAGTTAATCTGATGTCTATTATGCCAGGAGTATAAAGCCTACAACAGTATTAGCAGCCTAGCTCTGCATAAGATTTCTCACCCCTGGCTTTGCTCATCTTAACAACACACACACTATGAATTAAGGGATGCAACAAAGAGGTTAAAAGTGTGAGGCGTAGGGGTAGCAAACACACATATCATACTGCTGTACTTCTCAGGGAATCACAATCTGTTGCAGCTGCCTGTTGCGCATGGACTTGGTGGCAAATGAGGGTTAGCTTATGTGTGAAACGGACAGCACTGACTGCAAAATACTGCCACCACCCATGTCAAAGGGATCCAACAGTGGCCTGGCTGCATATGAATATTGTGTTGAGATAATACCACTGTCTCCAATTAGATGATAGTTTATTATTTGCTGTCTTTGCAGGATTGATCTGTGGCATTTCCCCCCCAAATTTAGATTATAACTATGTAAAGGAGGTTTTTGCCCTGGTCACTCCCTAATGTAAGCATTTCCTGCTGTAATATACTACATTTTGTAGTAACGAGTTACGTGATTTTTGTAACAATAATAATTCCAAAACAAAAACTTGCTTGCCAGTTGCCTGCTGCAGGACGTTGTACATTTTAACATTGTGTTGTTCTAAAACAAAGAAGCGTGTGCTGCGCATATTGCCAGGAAAGTGCAAATGGGGTAACAGGGCCCCTTCTCCCATTGGCTTACAAGCGCTTGAATAACTTGCGAACCACCCCGACGGTACTGCCGACGGCTTTGCCGACAAACCCCGGAAGCACTAGCGACAAACCCAGTGAAGCAGCATCCAGGATATTGGACAGCCAAGATGGCTTCTTGACGTTTTCACTCTGTTTTCTCAGCTGACCAATCTGCTCATTTAGCTGATCAGCATGCTTCTGGAATCCGGTCTCCAGCAACTTCTTTTGCTCCTACGAAGGAGAACATCAAAGTTATTGGCTCACAAGCAAAGGAATGAGATGATTTTTTTTCACTCAAGAGCAACTAGGGCTGCCAAGTCTGCCTTGGGGAATTCCTGGAGATCTCGGGGTGACACCAGCCATGCGAGCTCAGTGGGGTCATAGAATCAGTTGGAAGGGACCTCCCGGGTCATCACAAATACCTCCCCCACACACACCCCCGGTGACTGCTGTTACATGCCCAGAAGAAGACAAAAAACCTCCAGGATCCCTGGCCAAACTGACCTGGAGAAAAGTTGCTTCCTGACCCCAAAGTGGTGATCAGCACTTCCCTGGGCATGTAAGGAAGGGACGAGAACGTAGCACTGATGCAACCCTCCCTGCCCTCCCTCTCACGATCTGCATAAGTTCGCAGAATCTGCATCGCTGTCAGATATGGATATGATGCCATAGAGGCAATCTGCCCCAAGCCTTTCGCAAAGGGGACAAACCCACAGGCGTTTCCTGTGACAGTTACCCGGAGTTTAGCCTCCATCATCTTGTTCTGCTCGTCCAGCAGCTTGTCCCTGTCCTTCTCCATCTTCTCCTTCAGGTACTCCATGTTGGCTTCGTGACTTCGCCTCTGGTCCTCCAGCTTCTGCTCCAACTCAGCCTGCTTCTGCCTCTGGATCTCCCTCTCTCGCTCTGCTGCCTCGGCCCTTGCTTTGGCTTCTGCATCAGAAAGAAAAGAATCTTTTACAGATATTGCACACACAGCTGAATGCCTTTAACATGCATCCAGACCAGAAATTTGACGTCTCCTGCTCCAGAGGCCTCCATTTGTTTGGATTTCATTCATTCCTTCCCTCTCCCCTTGAGCAAAAGCCTTCTCTTCTTCAATAGCTGAGTTCTTTAAAAGCCTGTCAGAGGTTCGTGCCACTTAAGAGATGCGATGGCCCAGGGGGAAAAAATCAAGAAATAAAATTTTCCCAAGGACATTTTTTTTTCCAAATGGTGAGGTCTCTCCCCATCCACCCCCACCCCCAGTGAAGGAGAAGAGCTTGGGCCACTCCCACCCTAATAGCAACATCTCTGATGCAGCATCATCAAAATCCAGCCCATCTGCATACGACTTCGCCAGCCCCTCACCTTCGGCTTCCTTCTCTTTCTGCGTGAGGGCTTCGTCGCTTTGAAGGATGGCTCTACCCACAGCCTCCTTGTCCTTGAAGAACTGCTCCAGTTCGGCCTCTGCCTGGGTAGTGGAGAAGCAACAGTCAACGGAGCCTATGCAGAGGCTGCGATTGATGGCTAGCCAAAATACCCTCCCTGTGCTAACAGTAGGAAGTTTCACAATCGAAGGGGTTTGATGGGATATGCTATTTTTTCCTTCCAAGTGGAAGCCATGTACTGTGTAACCCTCAGACAGTGCGCTTGCTGAGTTCAATTCAAAAGCACCAGATCTCCGGAAGTTTTAAATTTTACTTTTAAGGAAGCACAAAGGCCTGCAAATCAGATCAAAACAGTGGTCATACGAGACAAGTATGGACTGTTATTGCATTTACTTTGAAGAAGGTAACTGATGGTTCTTATAAAAATTTGCATTAAAAACTAAGAGCTAGAGTCTAAGGGCAGCATTCTAGGGTAGTTACTTGTAAGTGAAATGTGTAACCTCACAGATCAATTCCATGATGTTGGTTCTGGCCCTAAGCGTGACATATGCCTCCATCAAGAGTCTTAGGCACAATCGCAAGGGAAGGCGGGTCTACCTCCTTCTCCAGCTACGTTTTTACATATCCCTTGATCACCCAGGAATTGGAGGCCAAGTGAACTGTTTGCCTTTCAGTTTGCTGTTGCGTGGATCAATTCTGGCCAGTGGGTCAATGTCCTTCCTTTTCTGGAAGACAGAACTTCTCAAAAAATGCAACCATTGTACATTTTACTATACCCACAGGGCTCAGATGCAATCCTTGATACATTACCTAGACACAACCTAGACACAATCAGTGAAGCTGATAGTGCGCCGCTGAAATTTGTGTTTCAAAATTTTAAAATTTGAGCTTGGAGAAAAAGTTGAAATTTGAGCACAACCTTTTTTTTTTTTAAGTATTCAGTGTTTCTAATTCAGCTGTGTTTGAACTTCATTACACAGTCGACCACATCTTCGTGGAATTATGGGCATATCCTCCTATCCCTTATCGCTCTTTCATATTTAAGTGATTTGATTCTGTAGATTTATTTATTTGTGTTATTCATAGTCCACCTTTCTCACTGGGACTCTAGGGGGATTGTTTGAGTCACATTCGCTGTGAGTAGATAGTGGTCAGGCCACACCTCCAACCCTGAAACCAAGCTTTCACTCAAAGGCTCATTGCAAAAAATTAAATCCATGATGTGACCCTTTTCATGTGTTGGTCTTACCAAAGTTTAATAGAAACCCAAAGTACTCAAAGGAAACATAAATCCTCACCATGACTCCTTTCCGTGGTTCCTGGTGGTATCTCACTGCTACAGACTTCAGGTCATCGAAATAATCCTGATAGCCACCAGGTCGGGAGTAGAAAGCCATGTTGATCCTGTCCTCCAGGTCCTTAGAGAGCCGCATCAACACAACCTTGCAGTGTTTGGAGGATTCCAGTTCGTTTTTACGGCAGTATGCCTCCTTCCTCTGATCTAGGGCTCGCTGGAGGGGGGGGGGATAGTTAACAAATCACTAAGTGTGTTTTGAGGTCAGGGGAATAAGCCACATGCGTGCTGTGTCTGTCCCGGCGCAGCAGAATCTGCAACAGGTTGGCTTTCTCGGAAACAGAGGTTGATTCTGCATCTAGCATTCGCTCCACATTTTCTCAACTGGGTGGAAAAAGTGCAGCTCAAAACCACATTCAAATACCCCGGGCCAATGCCACACTGACTGCAAAGTCACCCCTGAATGGCCATAAACCTATGCAGAAGGTACCATAAAATCTGATGACCAAAGGAAGTGAAGGCGGCATGCAATGCAGAGGGTACCATAAAATCCAATGATCAAAGGAAGTGAAAGCAGCATGCAACGCAGAGGGGAATTTCTATTCCAACATGGTTTTGCTAAAACAACGGAGGGAAAAGCCAATGCAGAATCAGCCAGAGATACATGGAGCTGGAAGGTGAAAGCTCAAGAGATGTCCTACCATCAGCTCAGCCTGGAACTCCTGCTTATCATCCTTGAAGGCACGGGCCATGAAGACCTGAAGGGCCTCGTCCTCGCATTGCGCATGGATCCCCAAGAGGTCCTGGAGGGTCTCCGTGGGCAGCTCCAGCTTCTGGTCCATCAGCTCCACGTAGCGGCCAGTGGCTTCGAGCACGGCGGCCGAATTCTCAATCTGAGCCAGAGCCAGCACTGCGTTCTCCATGCAGGGCACGCCCCCGCTGCGGATCATGTCCACGTAGGTCTCCACCAAATTTGCTAGCACTGCAAAGGCAACACCAATAGAGATGGTTGTGGCATCACTTAGATAGGGGCAGGGGTCATTTCGTAGAAAAAGAGCTAGGGGAACTCATTAGCATAACTCATTAGCATATGCCACACTCCCTGACATCAGGGGCCTGGCGGTGGACCTGTAAGGCTGGCGGGAGTGCGAGGAAGCCCCGCCAAGGCCCTCCCTGGCCCCAGGCAGGCAGGGGTGGGGAGAGGCGGGGAGGAAGCAACTTACCCTCCCTCTTCTCCTGCCTCCTCCTGACTGAATGAGGGCTGGAAGCGGGGTGACTGGAAGCAGGGGGCGGGGCTTCATTGTGTGCCCCGCCCCCCGCACCTCACCCGGGGGAACTGCGATCCCCCGCGATCCCCCCCGAAATGACCTCTGGATAGGGGTAGATTCAGCTGCTTTAGCATATAGTTGCTCACAGGACTGTACAGGTAGTATAAAACCTCCCTAGGAAAAGAAAGTGGAATTGGCCTTGATACTTGGGGAACAAGCAGTTGATCTCTGCTCCACTCTGCGTAGTGGGTCATTGATGGAGAACTGGGTTGTGGTGTGCTCCAGCCCTTATTTGGAGAGGGGGTGGGGGATACGAAGGCAGAAAGGGAGAGAAGGAAAGACCTAGAGAAAGAAATATATGTATTCAGGATATAATAAAACTTGGTCCCATGCTGTAGGTTGAGGTTCAAGGTGGATCTTGTGACCAAAAGGACTGGAAGCATCTTCTATTGCCCTCAAGCCACCATCATAGCTGGTCAGAAAGCTACTGAGCTATGAGAACTTACAGCGCCCAGTGACAATGTGCCCTCCTGGGATGGTCTTTGGCTTGGATGTCTTATAGACATGACGACAGAACTGGAGTGCTTGGTCCACAAAGTCGGGGTCCAGCTCCCTCTCCTCCATGTCTTCCAGCCGATGGAGGTTCTTTCGGTTGGTGGGGCGCTCAAAGATGAAGCATTTCCGGGTGGGGAAGAACAGCCGGATGCATTCGCGGGGCAGGTTGAAGAGCTGAACCTCACGGGAGTTACCTAGAAGGCGTAAGACAGAGCTGAACAGTTGGAGATGGAGATTCTGGAAAGGCATCTATCAGCACAAAGACACTGGAACTGTTTTTTTGGCAACAGGAAGGGATGAAGTCTATGATGTCATCACGAATTTTCTTAGGGGAAGAATGGCAGATGACCCACATTGTCACATACTCATAGTGTGCAAAGCCAACACACAACCCCATGGAAATGAAGCTGAGGCAGCAGGAAGTTAATACAATGGAGTGGAAAGGTTTCCAGCTCCAACCCATGTTTAGATTTCAACTGACCGCAAGCTTGACAAACTGAAAGTAGGGAGGTAAAGCAGAAGCCAGTCAGGTGACTAAATGCTGTACTATGGGCCCCAGTGTGGTGCCACGGTACCGGCCATAACCTTTTCCTTGTGCCCCCCAAGTAGTCTTCAAGAGTGAGTGTGGCCGGGTGAGGTTTTGTCCAGCAGGGCTTTTCACTGACCATGCGAGAACTGGCTGGATGTGCATAGTTTTTTAAAAAAAATCCTTGGCATTAACAGAAGGTAAACTGTGTGCAGGCCAGAAAATATCTTTAAATGAATATGTTCATTGTGAAAAGCATCTTGTTAAACTACTGCCTGAAATGTTGAAAAGTTATGCCTGACCTCACTCCCTGATATTTTGGAGTCGGCTCTGCCTTAGGCCTGCCAGGTCCCCTCATCGCGCCAGCACTGAGATTTGGGAAGCATTCTGGGATGTCCCCAACACAATGATGTCACATGGAAGTGACATTATAACATTGGGGATGTCGCGCAGTGACACTCTGGTTTCTGGGCAAAACTCTATGGTAAAACTGGATTAAAACCATAGAGTTTTGCCCTCAAATTGCGTCGCTACGCAATTTCCCCGACGTGGCTGTTTGGGGGTTGGGTTTCCCCGGCCAGTTGGCTGGCGGTGGACAGAAGGCCCGAAAACTGGGGGAACCCTCACTGGGTCCTGGCAACCCTACTCTTGTGACAGCCATTTTGTGGTTGCCTTGAGTGCCCACGGCAGCCATTTTGTGGTGGTACCCATCACCCTATGTCAGAATTCCAAAGAAGAAGAAGAGATTGGATTTATACCCCACCCTTCACTGTCCGAAGGAGTCTCAGAGCATCTTACAATCTCCTTTCCCTCCTCACAACAGACATCCTGTGAGGTAGGTAGGGCAGAGAGGGCTCTGAGAGAACTGCTTCTGGGAGAACAGCTCTGAAAGAACTTGTGACTGACCCAAGGTCACACTAGCAGCTGCATGTGGAGGAGTGGGGAATCAAACCCGGTTCTCCCAGATTAAAGTCCACGTTCCTAACCACTACACCAAACTAGCTCTCAGTGCCTGCAGTCTCAAAAAGGTTGGAGACCCTTGTACCATATATTCAATAACTTATCCTTTTTTTTTTACTTAGGTTGTTTCCTATATAATATGAGAACCCCTAAATTTGGGGCCTGAGAACAACCTCCCCCCCAGGCCAATGTCAGAACGTGGATAAGGATTTCAAGCCTCAGAGGCTGCAGCTGGCAAAAAGGAACATTTCCAGTTGTTAAAAGGCCCACGTATCAGAAAGGGAATTGGCTAAAGTTGCAGTTACAGTCTGGACAGAGCTAGTTGCTGAATGACACTCCGGTAAGTTATCTGGAAACAAGAGAAAAGTGAAGTGAAGTGATCTGTGGTTAAGCTAGCCAAGGCTTCTAGGAGGATCTTTTTGAATTAACGTCCGGAAAGCTGAGGGACGGCTCTCACAAAGTCATTACAAAACACAAACTGCTGCTCGAAGCAACACGTAAAGACAGCGTGCAGGAAGATGAAGCAGAAGTGATTAGGGACCGCTAAAGCCTTGTATACGTGGAACTATGCTCCTCTCAGACAAGATGTGGTCACAACACATGCAGAAAAGACAGGTGCAAGGAGATGTTGCCGCTCAACTTTTGACCTCTCAGTTGAAAGCAATAGAAACATTCTGCTTTAAAAGCAGGCCATCCCGACAACAGCAGCTCAGAGCAATGCAGGGAGAGAGAAAGCCAGAAAGGAAGACAGCATCCCAAGGAACAAGCTTGTTTTTGACGCTCTCAAACTGCAGCAGGGGCAAAGCGAAGCACCGTCGTACATGGGAAGCTTCCTCCTTGCCATCCCTGAGGAGACCAAATACATTCTTTGCCTCTGAAGTGATCAGCTGGCCATTCTATAGCTTCAGCTGGGATCCATAATTCCCCTAGTTGAGGTAATGATTGTTAGATTGAGCAACTCAGCATGCCTGAACAGTGTGTCTGTGGGGGTGCTACTTCACTCTAAGGGTGCGTTCAGACGGCTCTATAGATCCACGCGAGGCACGGGTGCCACATGGATTTACATGTAATGTCCAGACATCAACATCTGGGAAATGTCCATCTTCTGTGAGCATCCCGTTTTGCCACACCTCGGAGCCGTACTAAAAAGATACTACTTAGTTTTCGGTTATGACAGGCCACTTACGGACTTTTCCCCGTCTGATCGTTCCAGTGCGCAATTAAAAATTACGCCCGTTCGGGATGGTCTGATGTCAGACCATCCCGAACAGGCACCATTTTTTAAAAAATCTTGATTCTGCGCATGCGCAGATAAACAAAACCCCAATATCATGCCTATGCGCATGCGCAGAAAGTTTTTTTTAAAAAAACAACAACACCCACTGTGCATGCCTCCTTCAGTGGACGCCGTCTAGACAATCCACAGCGGAAGCAGTGAGCGGTAAGGTGATTCCCCCGGGGGATGTCTGGTCGTGCGAGGATGGATTAAAAAGATCGGGATCAAATTTGAGCCGGCATAATGGTGGGATTAGCTGTCCATCTGAACGCACCCTAAGAGAATATAGGTGTTATCTCCTTGAACGGGATGCTTCTCTTTGTCTTAACGTGGGAGCTGCCCTCTGACCCCTCCTCTCTCTCTTTCTCTCTGTTGCTTTGTCCTCTCACTTGCTGCACATGGCCTTCCATGGAGACGAATTCCTCTTTAGGCCTTCCCTGTAGATACAATCCCCTCATACTCCCACACACATGGTGCCAGACAAGCTGGCCATTTGAGATAGGGAAAGTACTCTTTAGATTAAGCTTCTTTCTTTTCCTTTGACTGCAACCTGAATGCCAACTGGATCTACTTTATAAGTTTACCTTTCCCCCCCAATATACTTCTTGGGAGATTTTTTTACTGCACTCAGTATCACACTTCGATGACAAAACTCGGAAGTAATGACTGGGCAAAACTCTGCAATATTAACCAAAAATCCCAATAAAGATGACGTGTTTTGTATGCTTTTGATTATTTGCTGCTGCTAGTGTAGGTGCTTCATAGACCGGTTTGGTTCATAAATCTAACCTGGTGAATGGGTGGTTGATTTTGTTCTCCTTAAAACTCTGCAGCCTACTCAGCAGTAGAACAAAGTGCAGCATCCAGCACCGCACCCTTTAGCCCATGCCCCTAGTGAGCATAAAGAGCCACTTCGAGATGAGACTGTGAGCTCACCACCCATCACAACTGACTGCCAAGTGGCCCAAGGGAGAGGAGTATCTGTATATGCAAGTGGGCTCCTATTTTCCTGATTGCTGCTACTCTTGTCAATCTTGCTAGAAAGACTCTTTGCCACTCCTAACCACTACACCAAACCGGCTCCCCGGGGAACAGGTTTCCCACTCTTGCCCCCTGCCTCCACTGCCTAGTGCAGCAGCAGGAGGAATTGTGGAGGCAAAAATAACACTGGGGCACCATCACTTCTGGGCACACAACCAGAAGTGACATCATGTGTTGCTGCAGTGGTCTACCTGACCCTCCCAAAAGAAGCTACAGCATCTAGTGATATGTGACATCACTCCCCGTTATGTGACTGGAAGGGATGTCATGGCGTTATGTACTACAGCTCCCCCCGCCCCCCAAAAAAGAAAAGCCTGCTGGGTTAAGCAACTTGGAGGCCAGGTTTGGCCCAGGTTGTGGTCCGCAGATGCTACAATGAGCCTCACCACACTGCTGTGGTCAGTACCTTTCTTAAGCTTCAAGGCATTCTCCAGATATTCGTCCTCAGTGCAGGGCCGCCCGTTCAGTTCCAGCTGCAAAGTGAAATCCCTCAAGGCCCAGATGAACGTTGGGAAGAAGCGGACATACTCGGCAGAATCTTCCAGTTCCTCCGAGTTCTCCTGAGGCGAAGATTTGGATTTGATACGCTCAGTCAGTTCTGTCACGTAACTGTCAGCCTGGCTCAGGAAAATACCAGGAACCCCGGCTTTCATTAAAGGGGGAGACCCATCTCTTGGAAATGTGCCTTCACTTCTGCCTCATAAGTTATAACTAACTTTTGTTAGACCTGTCCTTTAGAGAAGGGCCTTCACTCCTACTTCAGAGCTGCATATCACGGCCTGTCCAGACATGAAAGATGATAGCACCCAGGGGTCATTTTGTAGAAAAAGAGGTGCAGGCGCTCATTAGCATAACTCATTAGCATAACTTATTTGCATATGCCACACCCCCTGACATCACTGGAAGTGTGTCAGAAGGCAACACCCACCGCTCAGGCTCCAGTGGACTGTT